TAGGTAGGTAGGTAGGTAGATAGATAGATAGATAGATAGATAGATAGATAGATAGATAAAGGTTTTTTGAAAAATACAATGACTGAATAAATACATATAACATCTATCTCACATGAATAATGCAAAGGCAACTGTAATATATCTATATATGTAAAATCTGCATAATTAATCTTTCTCTACACCAAGAACATACTATCTCCATCTGCCCAAATTCAAATAATATTTTGCAGTGTAACTTAAATGTCTACTTCATTAAACCTTCATCAATGTATTCCAATGAAAGTCACCATGCCCTACAATGAACCCCTAAAGGAACATGGGGTATAAACTAGGTTTTCTAGTCACTCTGTTTTCTCCATAGGTAATGTAATGACTTAGACATCAATAATTATTAACCTGAATGACTCAAAGAAATTAAAATCTTAGGATTTACATTTTTATAAATATAGTTTTCAAAGCAAAGGGGAAATGAATGGTTTCTTTATGGTGTGTATCCTGAGATGACTGAATGTGATGGAATTAAATACTGAGAGACCTATGAAAGTATTTTGTTTATTTAATGATCAATCAGTCAAGAAATACATATTAAAAATTGATTACATGCACCAGATATAATGCTAGGGATACATTGATTAATAATGCAAACTTAATCCCTATTCTCGTAAAGTATAGAGAGGTGCCAAACAGGTGGTATGGTGGTTAAAGGCTCTAAACTCCCACATGGCCAACCGTTCAAGTCTCAGACCTGGTGGCTTGTTTTCTCACTTTCCCTCTCTTTGTTTCTCTCTGATCAAACCGGAAAATAGTAGTAATAATAATAAATAAAGTTAAATAAAATAAGTATGTTTTTAAATATATAAATAAAGTGTATAGGGGCCAGCAGGTAATGTTTAGTGGTTGAGGCACTGGATTCCCACATGGCTGGCCACAGTTCAAGTCCCAGACTGGGTATGTGTGCATGCATACCCCAAATCCCAGGAGAAGAATATGGGAGAAGGCACTGTGACATGGCCATCTCCCCAGGAGTGATTTTTCACTTTCCCTCTCACTGTCTGTGTATTTCTCTCCCCATCTCTGTCTTTCCCTCTCTCTTTCTGGTAAGTGCATGTGCCCTTATAGCAAAAATCTTTATAAAATAAAAGAGAGAGAGAGAGAGAGTGTACATATATTTTAGGCAATATCATCTTGATGACAGGATTTGAGTCTTGCTCAAAGTGCATATGACCATCTGTATCCTCAAATGTGTTTAATGACAGTATCTCTTATTCATGTATTCCACAACACATTATCTAAATATGCCCCTCAATAGCACTCAGCATAACTGAGCAGACCATGATTAAAAACATCTCTATGGGGCCAGCCTGTGGCATAGTGGTTAAGCTGGCTGGAACCCACATGGCCAACTGTATGGTTAGAGTCTCAGATCCGGCAGCTTGAAAAATAGGCCAGCATGTGTCCATGCATGTCCAAATTTTCAAAAGAGAGATGGAGAAGGATCATGGCATGACCATGCCCTCATGAGGGGTGCTTTTTCTCTCTCCCTCTCCCCCCGCCATCTCTCCTTCTCTCTCTCTCCCCCTGGTGAGTGAACACACACTCTAGCAAATTTTAAAAGGACACACTCTATTTTTTTTTTTGCGAGGTTTTTCGCTATAGGACGCATGCGCTCACCAGACAGACAGAGAGAGACATAGAGACATAGAGACAGAAAGCGAGAAATGGTCACGCTGCAATCCCTTCTCCTCCATTCTCCTCTCGGGATCTTGGGCACGCACGCACACACGCCCGGCGTGAGTTTTAAGCCACCGGGTCCGGAACGCCAACCGCGATCGACTAAGTGGGAGTCCAGCGATATAGCCATTACGCTAACTGCTGGTTCCTCACTCGAGCAAATTTTAAAAAGAAAGAAAAAACCCACCTTTGGGTTTTCTACATTTATCAATCACTCCTTTCCAGTTTCTTATTCTAGATCGTCCTTTTTTAAGCTTTAGAGAACTTCATATATCTGTCTTTGCTCTTTCCTAATTCTTCGCTTTTTTCCCTATGTAATATAACTGCATCCCCAAGTTAATCTGCAAACCTAATATAATCTCAATATCTAAGAACAAATAATAAAAAAGACTGAAAATGAAAAACAAACATGGGGGACTAGCAGGTGGCATGGTGGTTAAGGCACTGGATTCCCTAATTGTTTATCAACAATGGACACAGAAATAAGGAATGGATAAAGCAAATATGGTATATATACCAAAAAAAAGAAACATTTAACCATAAAAATATAAATAAATAAAATCCCAGGGGCTAGCAGGTGATTGGAGGTTAGGGCACTGGAAGCTCATATGGCTGACCGTGACTGGAGTCCTGGACTTGGCAACTTGCTTTCTCACTTTCCCTTTCTCTCTCTCTCTGTTTGGTCAAAATAAAAAATAATAATAATAATAACAAATGAAATTAAACAAAGTAATTAATTCTTAAAAAAAAAAAAAGAATAAAATCCTGTCATTGTGGCAATATGGTTGAGTATGGAGGATATTACATTAATCAAATAAGCCAGATACAAAAAGGTAAGTACTACATGATCTCACTCATAAGTCAAATCTAGAAAAGTTCATCTTACATAAGTAAAGAGTAGAAAATGTTTACTGGAGGCTAGGAAGAATAGTGGGAGAGGAGTATATAGAGAAGTTGGTCTATAATGTGTACAAAGTTACACTTAGACAGTAGGAATAAAATTTTAGTGCTCGAATATACAGTAGAGTGACTATAGTGAATAATATACTGGATATCCCAAGTTAGCTAAAAAAGATTTTCTTATGTCTCACTACAAAGAGATGATAAACATCTAAAGTAATAGGTATGCTAATTACCATAATTTATTACATACTGTATACATGTATCAAAACAGCCCACTGTACCTCATAAATATGTGGTACTAGTATATGTTGATTAAAAAGTAGAACTGGGGTCAGCAGGTGGCATCATGGGCATCATGGCTAAGGCGTTGGATTGCCACATGGCCAGCAGGGGTTAAAGTCTCAGACCTGGCAGCTTGAAAATCTTGCCAGCATATGTGCTTGCATGTCCAAAATCCAGAGAGGAAAATGGAGAATGGATTGCAGCATAGCCACTCCCCACCAGGGAGGGGGTGCAGGGGATGATTTCTTTCTTTTCCTCTTACTGTCTCTCTCTGCGTCCCTCCAGAGACGGCACACACCCCTATGACAAAAACCTTTAAAAAAAAAAAAAAAAGGTAAAACTTTTAAAAGGTGATTAGGTCTTGAAGGCTCTGCCCTAATGAATAGATTAATACCATTATCACAGGAGTAGGTTAATTATGGCAGGTATTCAGCCCTTTTTTCAAAATCTGTCTCACTGCTTACTCTGTCTGCCTTTTGTTATGGGATAAGGCATGCACTAGATATCAGTACTATGACCTTGGACTTCCCAGAATCTAGAACCATAAACAAAATGAACTTCTACTGTTTATAAATTACTCATTCTGTGGTATTCTGTTACATCTGTAGCAAGCAGACCAAAACGGAACCCATGACTACCTATCTCTAAAACCCATAACCTTACACCTCACTGCTTTTTATCTTCAGAAAGGAATAAAACTTCCAGTCAGGTAGTAATAATAGAAATAGGCTGACCACAAATATAGTCTAAATAAAAATCTTGACATTTTAGAGCTTGAAGAAAATTCAAAGAACACCCAAGTACCTCATTTCACAAATGAGACAATACTGGGTTTGTAGCCTCTGATCAGTCTTGCTATTTCAACTACTCTCTGACCTCCAATATATTACTTCACTATCTACAACTGTTTTCTGATAGCCTCAACTCAGCATAAGGCAAATGAGAAATCACAGAAAAGCTATAATTCAGAAAGTCATAGATGGATGGAGTAAATGCTCCAAATTCAACTTTTTACATTGTAATGACATTAAAAAAATAAGTGTTTCTGTCACTAGCCTAGTAGCAGGATTTTATGAAAGGAGAATGGTTATACAATACTTCTAATATTGAATACTGGTAATTAGAACTCTTACCTTTGTGGTTACAAGGAAGACAGTATACAGGAACATAAGATTATGCTTTGATATTGCCAGATATTTCGAGTGCTGGAATGTGAAGATAACTGACCCCAATAGGGTTATCTTAGAAGGGCTGAAAATGAAACACATTTTAAGTCAGTGAGTACTGACATGATTTCTATCTTTCTTTGCAAAGAGTGTTTTATTAAACACTAATTTAATGAGCTATTAATAAAAATAACACAAAAATGAGTTTTGCAAATATACTTATAAAGGTAAGGAAATGCAGTTATACAAAGTCAAATATCTTTTGTTAAAGAATTATATATTTAATTTATTATTATTAATTTTTAATTTGCTATAGGGCACATGCACTCATAAGAGAAAGAATGAAATTGAGAAAGCAAGCCACCAGGTCCAGGACTTGAACCATGGTCGGCCATGTGGGAGTCCAGCGTTTAACCACCATGCCACCGCTGGCCCCTAAATATCTTTCTTTACAGCATAAGCTATTGGAGATTTTAGAATGTGCATATATATATTTTAACTCTGTAACAAAGACTATGTTTCTATGTACAACATCTCTAAAATGTATTCAGCTATACAACACTTTTCACGAATGATTTGAAAGTTTCATGTTCCAAGCATGATTTGGAATTAATCTTGAAAAACCTTTTAGTACTAACAAACTACCAGGATGGGGTTGGGGCGAAAGAAAGCACTATTAGTAATTTGACCATTTCCATGGCATAAATACTCCCATTACAGTTAATCTCAGGCTGCTGCATGGAATGACAAAGAGATGCACACAATTGAACTCTAATAGAACAGTATAAGCCAGCTCCAATATATACCTTAGCTAAGTCTAGACAAAACAAAAAAAAAGAAAAAAAGAAAATCAGTGGAGACATAGATAATCTGAATAATACCAGCAATCACCTTGAACCTATAGAATATAAATTCTTTTTTGAGAAGGATTTTTTTGCTATAGGGCATGTGTGCTCACCAGAGAGAGACAGAAAACAAGAAATCACCCCCTGGGAGGAAGATGGCCATGCTGCAATCCCTTCTCCTCCATTCTCCTCTCAGGATTTTGGGCATGCATGCACACGTGCCCAGCATGAGTTTCAAGCTTCCAGGTCCAGGACTTGTACCACAGTCAACCACATCAGAGTCCAGTGCCTTAACCATTACACTACCTGCTGGCCCCAGAATATATATTCTTTTCAAGTGTATGTGGTATATTCACTGAGACAAACCATATGCTGAGCTGTAAAATGAGTCCCAATAAATTTCAGTGATGTACTATCAGTGTTAGCATCACAAGAAAGCAAGAAAAAGAAAAACAAGAATACAGATCAGAAGAGAAGAAATAAAACTGTCTCTATTTGCAAGTGATACAAATCTCAAAAGAATCTACAAAACCACTAGAACTAAGAAATAATACGAGGTTAATGTATACATAAATCATATTCTTGTACATTAGTAACAAAACAATCAGAAGCTAATTTCTTCAATTCCATTTATAATAGCATCAAAAATATATAAAATACTTAGGAATAAACTCAAACGACATTGAAGTCCTCTACACTGAAAACTACAAAACACTGCTGAGAGAAATTTTAAAAGATCTAAATAAATGGAGGTATATAATATAATAATGCTCATGTATTGGAAGATCCTATATTGCTAAAATCTTACTTCTCTCCAGTTGATATATAACTGATATACAGATTAACTGCTATCCTAATAAAATTACCAGCAGGCTTTTTGTATAAATTAATGAGTTCATTCCAAAATCATATGAAAATGCAAAGGACCTAGAATAGGCAAAACAATTTTAAAAACAAAACAAAGAATAAAACTGAGAGACTCCCAGTACCTGCTTTCAAGACTTACTATAGAGGGACCAGCAGTTAGCATAATGGCTATGTAGTCGACCCCGGGTCGCATCCCAGAACCGGTGGCTTAAAACTCACGCTGGGTGCATGTGCATGCGTGTCCAAGATCCCGAGAGGAGAAGGGAGGAGAAGGGATTGCGGCGTGGCCATCCCCCCTGGGGGGTGATTTCTCGCTTTCTATCTCTCTGTCTCTCTCTGTCTGGCGAGCACATGTGCCCTATAGCAAAAACCTCTCAAAAAAAAAAAAATAGACTTACTATAGAGTTATAGTAATCGGAATGGTGTAGGATCAACATCAGAATGGACTTTTAGATCAATAGAACAGAACAGAGAGGCCAGAAATAGACTCACATATATGGTCACTTGATTGTACAAAAACGGTAAGTAATAAAATGGGCAAAAGAAAGGTCTCCCAAGAAAAGGTGGAGTAATAGATATCAATAAGAGGAAAACATCAAACCCTACATCATACTATTTACAGAGAAGTTGAAACAGATGGCAGAACTAACTATAAGAACTAAAAGTATGAACATTTTTTTCCATTCGATAAAATATATTTTTTATTTATACATTTTTTATTATTACTCATACATTAAATCGCTATTATACATCATTTAGATTGTGAAGAGACTTTACCAAGCATGATATACAGTAAGAAAGATACCTTTGCTACTCAGGGTTAGGCAAAGACTTCTTAGGGAGAACACAAAAAAAATAAAAGAATTATTAAACTGTATTTCACCAGGCCAGCAGATGGCGTGGTGGTTAAAGGCTCTCTCATGGCTGATCACAGTTTTGAGTCCCGGACCAGGCAGCTTGCTTTCTCACTTTCCCTTTCTCTCTCTCTCTCTCTCTGGTCAAATTAAAAAATAATAACAAATGGAATTAAATAAATATTTAAAGAAAAAAAGAATTATTAAAAAAAGACTGTACTTCACCAAAAGCATACACACATATATACACACACACACACACACACACACACATGTGTGTGTGCACTCACGCCACAAAGATATTGTATCCATAATATATAAAGAACTCTTACAACTCAATAATTAGACAACACCCCAAAATAGTGGGCAAAATATACACAGACACTTATCAAGGCAGACATGGAAATGAACAATAAATACATGAAAACATCTTCAATGTTCTTAGTCAGCCAGGAAATTAACAACACAGAAATATATCCATTGGGATTTCTAGAATTAAAAAGACTGACAAACTCACTCCTTGGAGAAGATCTAGAAGAACAGTTAGAACTCTCAGACACTTTGGAGAACTAGATTTTGAAAATGTAAACATACACGTACTGTCTAACCCAGGCATTCCACTCAAGATATTTACCCAAATAAAATGAAAACATGTGTCTACACAAAGACTTGCATATAATCATAAATAGCAACTTCATTCACAATAGCTAGAAGCTGACTCAAATGTCCATCAACAGATGAATACATAAATAAACTATAATCTATACATACAATGAAACACAGCAACAAAAAGGAACTAGCTCATCCTGTGAGGAAGAATCCCAAAATCACTGTGCTGCAATAAAGAAGCTAGACACGAGTATATATTATAAAATTCCACTTACATAAAATTCTAGAAAAGGCAAACTGATTCTATGATTTTCTGAGACCAGGGATGAGGGAAAGGACCAACTGCAAAGGAACACAAGAAAACTTTCAGGCTCATAAAAATATTGATAGTGGGGAGCCAGGAAGTGGCATGGTGGTTAGTGTGCTGGACTCCCACATGGCTGACTGCAGTTTGAGTCCCAGACCTGGCTGCTTGTTTTCTCACTTTTTCTCTTTCTCTCTCTCTCTCTCTCATGAGTACACAAGCCCTACAGCAAATTTAAAGATAACAATAATAACAATAACTAAAACTAAAGAAATAGTTCTTTAAAAAAATACTTTAAAAAATTGGACCAACAGATGGTGTAATGGCTACATCGCTGGACTCCCATGTAATTGACCTCAGTTCGAGATCTGGACCTGGTGGCATGTGTGTGCATTCCTAAGATCCCAAAAGGAGAAGGGATTGTGGCGTGGCCATCTCCCTGATTTCTCGCTTTCTGTCTCTCTGTCTTTCTCTGTCTGTCTTTCTGGTGAGCACAGGCGTCCTATAGCAAAAACCTCTCCAAGGGACCAGCAGTTAGCATAATAGATATGTCACTGGACTCCCATGTAGTCAACCGTGGTTCGAGTCCTGGACCTGGTGGCTTCAAACTCACGCCAGGCGTGTGAGTACATGTCCAAGATCCTGAGAGGAGAATGGAGAAGGGACTGCGGCGTGGCCATCCCTCCGGGGGGGTGGGTGGTGATATCTTGCTTTCTGTCTATCTCTCTGGTGAGCGCACACGCCCTATAGCAAAAAAACCTCTCCAAAAAAAAAAAAAGAAAATTCACTCCAAAAAAACGGAATATTGATAGTGGTGGCAATTCCTTTGTTACATGTATCTGTATAAAGTCATCGGATTGTATTATTTAAGTGGATGTAGTTTATTAAGTTTAAAGTCATCGGATTGTATTATTTAAGTGGATGTAGGTTATTAAGTTTTAAAAAATAAGAAATGCTCCAGCAAAAAAAAAAAAAAAAAAAAGATGGACCAGCCCCAGTTATGTGGTAAGTGTGGCAGGTAAAGCCCACATGGCTGACTGTTTGGTTCAAGTCCCAGATCCAGCAGCTTGAAAATACACTGGGCCCAAAATCCTGAAAAGAGGGATAAATGGAAAAAAGGAATTGTGTATGGCATGCACATTCCCCATAGTGGGTGCTTTCTTATTTTCTCTCTTTTTCTTTCTCCAATGAGGGCACATGCCCTCTAGCAACTTAAAAAATAAGAAAAGAAAAAAAAATACCATTAACTACCTGGCATTAAGCAAGTTTTTTACAATAACTTGTTTCAGCCTTAGTTTTCTAGCCCATAAACTAAAAATAATACCTACTTTTCTTTTAAGAAGAGTAACAGCATATTTTTTTAGAGTGCCTACACAGAACCCAGTATATGATAAAGGATCAGAAAATACCTTAGGAGTCTGATTAAATTTCACTTGCTAGAATTCTAGGATACTGGTTTTACACACTATTCTCTAAAACTACTTCAGAATATACTGTGCTCAGGACCAGCAGTTGGTGGAGTGGCTATGTCACTAGACTCCCATGTAGTCAACCACAGTTCGAGTCCCGGACCCAGTGGCTTAAACTCATGCCAGGTACATGTACCTGAGTGAGTGCCCAAAATCCCAAGAGGAGAATGGAGAAGAAGGGTGGTTACAGGATGGCTATCCCCCCAGAGGGTGATTTCTCACTTTCTGTCTCTCTGTCTCTCTCTGTCTTTCTGGTAAGCGCACAAACCCTATAGCAAAAAACAACTCAAAAAAGAAAAAAAAAAAGAAAGAATATGTTGTGCTCTATCAAGTTTCTAACGTGCAGTAAGCATTCAATACTAAACAGATACACTAAAAACATCATAGGTATGCAAAAGTATTTGATAATAGATACACGAAAATTTCACACACGCACATAATAAACCAGTGATCGATCTTTGCTGACCCACTTGATCATTCATTCATTCAATATCGTATTGGCTACTATGTGTAAAAGAACAATCAAAAGAGACAAAAATTCCTACCCCTGATATTTTTTATTCTTTGAAGAGTAGGGAGAGAAGCCGAGGGAAGAGGGAAGAATCAGCATAACAAAGTGGGGAAAGAAGCCAAGGGAAGAGGGAAGAATCAGCATAACAAATAAGTACATTACAAAATACCTTAGAAGGTGATAAATTCTGAGGAAAAAAAGAAAACTAGAGAGTGCTACAATTTTAAAAAGCAGGATAATCCTCCCTTAGAAGGTAAATAATGAGAACTATTTTGAGTAAAATAGAGAAGTGTGTGAGCCATCTCAATAAAAAGATTCTGGACAGAAGAAAACTACTGCTAAACCAGACCACACTGGGCTTGTTCCTGGACACAATGGGGTGAGCAAGGGAGAAAACAAGAGATGAGACCTACGCAAATAGATGTGGATAAAAGGCAGATCTTGGAAGACCTTACAGGCCATTTAAGGAAGTCACTGCAAGAGGTTTAACAAAAGAGAAATATAACTTGTTTCCAGTTATAAAAGCCCCAAGAAATATTTTATACAAGATATTTCAAAGCAAGTACAAAATGTAAGAAATTTCCCAAATATCAGTAATACTCATAATTTATCAAAGTCTCCTTTGTTTGATTTCTAAACTCCCTCATTTAAGCCTAAAGGAGTACTTAATAAGTTAAATATCCTAGAATTGGGTGGTTCGTGAAAATACACTTTATCATTCATACTACTCCTCAACTGTAACTTTTAACTCATTTATCATCCATTTTTAATTACAAATGTTCCTTTTTTACATGAAGTCTTTCCTCACCTTGCTTATTATGATCTATCCCCTACGCCTTTTCCTTACTGAATTGTGAACAGTAACTGTTAATAAATTTCTCTATTTCATTTTCAGGTGCACCAAGAATGTACCTGTGACTTATTTAAGATTGGGTATCTTTAGAGAACACCTAATGATTAATTTCTTAAACAGCTGAAAAAGTAGTTTGTATAGTTTAAGTATAACGTGAGTTACTTCTTCAAATCTTTTTTTTATTTTTATGCATAGTCAAACTCAATAGTCTTTTTTTAGCAACTCACAGGACTTTATAATAGACTGATTTATTTCTATAAACTTGACATTTTACAATGGGACTATACGTAATGTTGGCCCAGTTGTGGTGGTTTGGGCAATGGGGCATCACAGCATGGTGATGGGTGATGATCACACAAACCTTACCAGGTTCCAGGTTAACCAGAACATGCCTGGTGCAGTCATGATCTCTGCTGGCTTGAGGGCTATGTGGGGCAGATGGGAGATCACAGTGTGATCAGACCCTCTAAAGGGTACTTCTCTCTCTCACACCCACATAAAAAGAAGGAAAGGATGGGAAATAAATGAACTATGTATAACCTGGAATCTGGGTAACATCATAGTTATTAATAAAAATGAGTCAGCAATTGACTTCCAAGCAGAAGTCTATTCTTACATAGTTCTCTTCCTAAACACAATCAGAATCACACTTTTGCAGTACACAATCACATTCAGTCAATGATGGACTATATATACTATGGTGATCTCATAAGATTATAATGGAGCCAAAAAAGTCTATCACCTAGTGATACTGTAGCCCTCATAATGTCATAGTCCAACACACTACTCACATGTTTGTGATGGGGCTGGTCTAAACGAGCCCATTGTGCTGACAGTCACACAGTACATACATTTATGTACAATATGTAATTCTAGATAATAATAACTGCTACTGATTTATGTGTATATTATACTTTCTATCATTACTTTATTGTGTATCTTTCTACTTGAACATTTTTTACTTTTGGGGACCAGCAGTTTTTTTTTGTTTTTTTTGGTTTTTTTTTTTGGTTTTTTTTTTTTTTTTTTTTTGAGAGGTTTTCGCTATAGGGCGCATGTGCTCACCAGACAGACAGAGACATAAAGACAAAAAGCGAGAAATCACCCCCCAGGGGGGATAGTCACACCGCAACCCCTTCTCCTCCATTCTCCTCTCGGGATCTTGGGCCCGCACACACACGCGCCCGGCGTGAGTTTTAAGCCACCGGGTCCGGGACGCCAACCACGATCAACTACGTGGGAGTCCAGCGACATAGCCATTACGCTAACTGCTGGTTCCCCAAAAAAAAATTTTTACTGTTAAACAGCATGCTGTGCTATGCCAGCAGCAGCCTCATACATGATGTTCACCACATCTCTTAATTGCATCACTTTCTCTTTTACTAGTCGCTGTATAATCTTAGGCTAATGTGTATGTTTGTGTCTTAGCTTTTAACAAAAAAATTTTTTAATTTAAAAATTAAAAAAAGATCTTAGAAAATAAGGATAAAAAGAGAATATTTTTTGTACAGTTATACAATGTGTTTGGATTTTAGGCTAAGTATATCTTTTCTCATACAAAAGAGAAAGTTAAAAATCAAAAGCAAAAAAGATAGAGAAATCTAAAGTTTATTATTGAAAAATTTTGTTTATAAAGTAGGTGTAGCCTAAATGCAGTGTTCATGAAGTTCACAGCAGTGTACAGTAATGGTCTATGCCTTCACATTTACTCACCACTCACTGACTCATCCAGAGCAACTCATAGTCCTATAAACTCCATTCATGGTAAGTTCCCTATACAGGTGTACCATTTTGGTACATCTCTTAAATCTTTTTTTTTTTGTAATTTTTCTATGCTTAGAAGTATTTAGACAGACAAATACTACAGTGTTACAATGGCCTACAGTACTCATTCCAATAATGTACAGGTTTGTAGCTTAGGAGCCATTGCTCGAACTACGGTCGACTACATGGGAGTCCAGCAACATAGCCATTACGCTAACTGCTGGTCCCACCACCACTTATTTTTTTCAGCTACATTTCATCACATTTAAAGTCTCCAAAATGTTCTCCAAAAGAAATTGGTGAGATTTAAAGACAAAATCCAGGTCCCAGTATAATTTATACTAACTCACTAGGACATCTTCAGCCATTCATCACCTTCTGGTTTCCAATCTCCTTTTAACAGCCGCTCAAAATTTGTGATAATGGTACCACCTGCACCTAAAATAAGGAAATAAAACAAGAATGCTTAGCCAAATTTTCTTTCCTTTCTTTCAAGTTTTTGCTATAGGGTATGTGTACTCACCAGAGAAAGACAGAGAAAGAGAGAGAAGGGAAGGTGAGAAATCATCCCCTGGGGAAATGGCCATGCTGCAATCTCTTCTTCCCCATTTGCTCAGAATTTTGGGCAGGCATACATGCACACACACCTGACATGATTTTCAAGCCACTGCGTCTGGGACTAGAACTGTCTTTCCACATAGGATCCAGCCACCCTAAACTCCATGCCCTCTGCTAGCCTTAGCCAAATTTTCTTGAAAAAAAGATTTGAGGGAAGCCATAATCTTATTAGCTGATTTAAAATTCCAAGAGGATTCCCAAAATATAAATCTTGGAAGGAAGAAAAAAGTTGCCCTGTGTATTTAGGGTACTGGGACTACTACAATTCTTCTCTTTCACCAGCATGGCAACTGTCTATTATACCATAGTTAAGGTTGAAACTGGGGCCTCAGGCACAGATAGCTAGCTAACAGTTTGTTTCAGACTTGAAAAGGAAAATCCTCTGCTTTATCATTGTCATTCCTGATATGGTTAGTTTTAAGTGCAGTACACTATAACATGAGGCTTGGAGAAATTTGTTTCAATTTCTACACACAAAACACTAAGGGCAAGTAATGCAAAGTGAACATGAACCCAAAATCAATCATATTTGCTATTTTCAGTAATTCAGGATGGAAAACAAACACACACAAAAGACAGAACAATGTTTTTTTATTCATGTACAATTCTTTATGTCTGTGAACTTGTTTTTACTTATGGTAGCACTACACTTTAACTGATTTTTTCTGGTTCTGGGGCACCTAATTAAATCAATCAGAGAAATGACATATCACTTGGGCCAGACAATGATGCAGAAGTAACTCAATACTCTGAGGCTGACCCACAGGGGAAGGTTCTCAGTTCATGTCTAGAAACTTCGCTGAACATGCCAAGCACACACATGCCAGTGATCTTGAAGTGGGTCATGGCATGAAGACTCTGTTTAGTCTTTCTGTTTCTCTCGTTCTTTCTGTCTCATTCATGGAAGAAATAAGTAAACTTTAAAATTTGTATATCAAAAGACAGTCAATGGGGGCCAGCAGGTGGCATGGTGGTTAAGGGCACTGGACTCCCAAATGGCCGACTGTGGTTCAAGTCCCTGACCTGGCGGCTTGCTTTCCCACTTTCTGTCTCTCTCTCTGTTCCTCTTTGGGCAAATTAAAATAAATAAATAAATAAGTTAAATAAAATAATTCTTTAGAAAACAAAAAAAGTGAAGCCCAATATAATGACCAATAACTAATACTTGTAAACATATTAGTTTTGAATAAACTTTACTAGCCAACAGAAACAAGGTTTCCACCACCCAAAAAAAACAAGTGTTATTAAAGTATATAATCCCCATTAACACAGCTAGAAAATTGTCTAATACTTGTAGTATACCAGTAACAGAATAGCTATGAACACATATTGTTAATATTACCTCGGGCCCATCCAATAGCTATCATGACTATCCAGCCATTTTTGTAATAGCTATTAGCATGTGTGACTCCACCTACTATTTTCCAAGTTCTGGTCACTTCCTTCATTCCTGAAGCCAGGAGTTGAACAGGTAAAAATGAATAGCCTTGAGAAACTAGGTCGCATGGGCAAAAAAATACAATATACCTGAAAGTAAAATTTATACATTTTAATATATAAATAAAATCTGAAGAACAGAAATTAAAAACCTATTAGCAATAATAATTTGGCAAAATACAACAGATGGAATTACCCATATAAACACAGATATTAAATTTAAGAAAGGCACCTATTGGTGTGGGATATTCACTGTATGGTGACATTTTTCCAACATTCTGCCCTCCTGAGAGCAGTTCTAGCCAGGGCTGACCCCATAGGAATGTGACCACTCCCCTTTTTAAGGAGTGGCCCTCAGTCAGGGCCAGTTCTGGAGAAATGCACACCTCTGCCATGGAATCACAAGATCCAGGCAGCTATTCTTAAAGAATATAGTTGTTGACTCTGTAGATAGACAGTAATGTTTACCCTAACTGATGTAATCTTCAATCATGACAGACAAAAACCTGATCACGACACTGAGAAACAGTCTACTTAACCCCGTAATGATCAAAATGATTGCTTTGTCTCACTGTATTTAACTAATTACTGTAGTGCACAGGGGAAGGATCTTTCATTGATCAGTCACATTGGTGTATCCCTTAAGTTGAATAAATTCTCTGCTGTTCAAATATCAGCAGTAGTCATTACCGGAAAACACACTCCTTTTTTTCTCTCCATTCATAAAATATTCTTTTTCTTTTTTAAAAAATACTTTTTAAAAAAAAATTTTTTTTATTTAACTTTATTTATTTATTTATTTTACTTTCATTTGACCAGAGAGGGATATAAGAAAAGAGAGATACAGTGAAAGAGAGAGAGAGAGAGAGAAAGTGGGAAAGCAAGCCGCCAGGTCCAGGACTCAAACTGCGATGGCCATGTGGAAGTCTGGCACCCTTAACCACCACACCATCGGCCGCCCCCTCCTAAAGTATTCTGACAGACAATTTTGCACTTAAAGCATAATCTATCTTCTTTCTTATGGGGTGATATATAATACAGGGCATGAAAAAAATACTGTATCTCTCTCTTTTTTTTTTTAAGAGGTTTTGCTTTAGAGGACATGCACTTGCCAGAGAGAGAGACAGACAGACAGACACAGTGAGAAGGAAAGCGAGAAATCAACCCCCAGGGGGATGGCCACGCCACAATCCCTTCTCCTCTATTTTCCTCTTGGGATCTTGGGCACACACCCACACACGCCCAGCATGATTTTCAAGCCACCGTGTCCAGGACTTGAACAGCAGTCAGCCATGTGGACTCCAGCAATGTAACGGCTTAAACTCATGCTGGACGTGTGTGCGCGTGTGCCCAAGATCCCGAGAGGAGAACGGAGAAGGGATTGCGCCATGACCATTTCCCCCTGGGGGGTGATTTGTCACTTTCTGTCTGTCTGTCTTTGTCTTTCTGGTGAGCGCATGCGCCCTATAGCAAAAACCTCTCAAAAAAAAACAAAACAAAAAAAAAGATGCAATGGTTTGCTTAGCATAAAACACCTTTACCTCATTTTCACTTACCAAATACTTCCTATTCTTTAAGATCCCACCCAATAACTATTAATACCATATATATTGACTTTGAGGGTTTTGTTTTATTTAATCTTCTCAGCTCAGACTAAGTTCTACAAAAATTAGGGCACAGAACAAAATAGCTCTTTACACAACTTTTTTTTAATACAAAAGTTGTAATGCTTGGGGCTGGCAGGTGGCATGGTGGTTAAGACCGCTGGATTTCCACATGGCCAACCGCATTTCGAGCCCCAGACCTGGAGGCTTGCTTTCTTGCTTTCCCTTTCTGTCTTTCTCTCTGTCTCTCTCTGGTCAAAATTTAAAAATGATAATAATAACAAATGGAATTAAATAAATAAATATTTTTTTTAAAAGTTGTAATGCTCACAATAAATTTTAATAGTCCTTAGATGACAGGAGTCATTCATCTTTTTACTTTTGAACCTCAAACTCAGCATGATAAAAATTTGCAGAGTTAAATTATTTATTAACAGGCAATTTGGAATCAAAATGCAAAATATATCAAATCAAAGAATCAATTGAGGGACCAGCAGGTGGTGTGGTGGTTAAGGCGCTGGACACTCCCATGTGGCTAACCACAGTTCAAGTCCCAGACCTGGTGGCTTGCTTGTGTGTGCGCTCTCTCTCTCTCTCTCTCTCTCTCTCTCTCTCTCTCTCTCTGTGTGTGTGTGTCTCTGACCAAATTAAAATAAATGAATGAAATAAAATTAAATAAATCTTTAAAAAGAAGAATCAATTGATAATTAAAGAGTTTGAGAGGAAGGAATAAATTGTCGCAGAGTAATATATTTTAATAATTTATTTTATTTTATTTATTCATTTATTTTTTAATTTGACCAGAGACAGAGGATGAGAATGAGAGAGAGAAGAAGTGAGAAAACAAGCCACCAGATTCAGGACTTGAACCCTGGTCGGCCATGTGGGAGTGTCCAGTACCTTAACCACCATGCCACCTGCTGGTCCCCTAAGAGTAATATTTTAGAAAATGACTGGTATAACTTTTTAAATGTATGTGTTCCTATAATATTTTGAAAGTCTCTATACACTACTTATTAAAAAACAGAATTTCCAGAAATTTAGTTAGGTAGGTAGTGAGGGGAAATTTTTAAATGTATTATTATTAAAGTAAAAAATATTTTGGTAATCTATTATAAACTAGATTAAGAAAGGGGGGTTTTGTTTCACTGTATCAGTAATTAATGCTCAAATGTAAAATATTCAAAGAAAGGACAAAAACAATAATATTACAAATACCCACTTTTCATTCCCTACAGTGAGCCTAAATTTAACATGAGTTAAAAACATACTATGGGACCAGCAGTTAGCATAATGATATGTCACTGGACTCCCACGTAGTCAACCAGGTTCGCATCCTGGACCCGGTGGCTTAAAACTCAAGCCGGGCGCGTGTGCATACGTGCCCAAGATCCTGAGAGGAGAATGGAGGAGAAGGGATTGCGGTGTGACCATCCCCCCAGGGGGTGATTTCTCGCTTTCTGTCTCTCTGTCTCTCTCTGTCTGTCTGGGGAGCGCAAGCGCCCTAAACCCCCTAAAAAAAAAAAAAAAAAAAGAAACCATACTATTACGAGGCCAGCAGGTGGCGAGGACGTTAAGATGCTGAATTCTCACATGGCTAATGTCCAAGTCCTGAACTTGGTGGCTTGAAAATCACACTGGGAGATCAGCACATGGCATAACATTTACATTGCTGGATTCCCACCTAGTCAACCATAATTTGAGTCCCGGACCCTACTGGGGTTTGACTTAAAACTCACATCAGGCATGTGTGCCCAAAATCCTGAGAGGAGTATGGAGGAGAAATCGCCATCTCCCCTGGGGGGTGATTTCTCACTTTCTGTCTCTGTCTCTCTGGCAAGCGCACATGCACTATAGTAAAAAAAAAAAAAAAAATTTTTTTAAAGTCACTCTTAAAATAAAAAAAAAAAAATCACTCCAGGTACGTGTGCATGTGTGCCTGCCCAAAATCCCAGGAAGAGAAGGGGAGAAAAACACTGCAGAGTGGCTACTCCCCCAGAGGGAGTTATTTCTCACTTTCCCTCTCACTGTTTCCCTCTCTCTGTGTAAGCATATATACACTACAGCAAAAACCTAAAAAAAATTTTTTTAAATACTATTACAATAGTAACTTTGGACTTTTTATATCCAATATGTAACACTATAGCACTGATCTAAAATTTGTAATGATTGCCCTTTATGAATAAGTAAGTCTTTATTCTATTATTCAGATATTTCTAAAGTACACCTACAAAAAGTCAATTCTCATTTGAGTGTTAAATAGCCACAGGGCAAAAGTACAATTGTTTATTTATTTTTTTTTTGGAGAGATTTTTCGCTATAGGACGCATGCGCTCGCCAGACAGACAGAGAGAGACAAAAAGACAGAAAGCGAGAAATCACCCTCCCAGGGGGGATGGTCACGCTGCAATCCCTTCTCCTCCATTCTCCTCTGGGGATCTTGGACACGCACACACACGCGTGAGTTTTAAGCCACCGGGTCCGGGACTGGAACTGCGGTAGACTACGTGGGAGTCCAGCGACACAGCCATTACGCTAACTGCTGGTTCCCAGTACAATTGTTTATTATGTTCAGTAAAGTTACAAGTAAACATATCATCCCAATGGCTCCCTAAACAACCATTTCTGTTCTGTAACACAAATTAGCTTTTTAACATTCCTTTAATTAAAGGGGGCCTGCAGGTGCCCTGGTGGTTAGGGGTACTGGACTTCCACATGGCTGACTGCGGTTTGAGTCCCAGATCTGGTGACTTGATTTCTCACTTTCCTTCTCTCTTGTGTCTGTCTTTCTCTGGTCATAAATAAATAAATAAATAAAGATAAATATAATAATAATAATAAACTCACATATCTTTAAAAAAATTTCTTTAATGAATTATTCAACCAACATTCATTAAGTAATCACAATTTTTCTCCTTTTTAAAGATTACAATTCCATTTTTAACTAAAATGGTCACATCTAAGGTAAATTTAACTTGTAAAATGCCTAAAGAGATCACATCAGGAAAAGATAGAAGAAAAGGAAAGAGAAAAGAATTGATTTCCTACACATGTTTAAGTCATATAAGTTAGGATAATAGAGGGGAGAAAGGATCAAAGAATAAAAGTTAGCCTGGGACCAGCAGGTGGTGTGGTGGTTAAGGGCGCTGGACTTCCACATAGCCAACTGCAGTTCGAGTCCCGGACCTGGTGGCTTTCTTTCTCACTTTCCCTCTCTCTGTCTCTCTCTGTTTCACTCTGCCCCTCTCTGGTCAAATTAAAATAAATGAATAAATAAAGTTAAATAAAATAATAATAAAAAAAGAATAAACATAAGCCTAAAACAGAATAAAAACAAGTTCCTAGGCTACTAACTCATGAAAATTAAACTATTTTAAGTAGGAAAGATAATGAGTAGAATTTTGGGTTTCTATCAAGAGTTGATCAGAGAGAAACCTCCTAGGGTTAGTCATCAAGAACTGTTTTCACTCTATTATCAATTCCACT